CCGAGTTTATATCCCAGCAAGTGGGTTGACTGCATGAACATTTTTGTGGATATGTTCGCACATAACATGGATATAAACTAATTTCTCTTATAAAGACTTCCCTTCCTTCCAGTAGATAGCCCTCATGGGTTTTGCCGTAATCAAGTAAACCAAACTAAAATAAAATCAATTTTTCTATGTATAATTTTATATTTTTTCTTTTCATTTGAAATTATTATGCACCTTTTGATAATAAGAGTAGTTTAACAAAGGTTTTATTTATTATGAATTTCACTGATGCCATCAACCAGTTCACTGAAGAAATTGAATTTCTTAATTTCCTTCTATTCCTTGACATTCTAAGAAAATACAATAAATATAATTTCAGCATTGTAATTTATGAGAAACATTTTCCTGTTTGCTTCTCTTTCCAAGAAAATCATTTCAAGAGTAAAAAGATATATATATATACAGTCAAAAGTCTTTAATCCGGAATGATCTATAATCTGGACCTCAAAGCTACAAACTTTTTACGCATGCGTAGACGCATAATGCATTTACGCATGTGCATAATACGTTTACACATACGCGTTTAATGTATAACGGATGGTATAAGCTAGGCTAAAATTATCTATTTCAGTTAATGTTGCAGATTGCGTTGTTCCTTTATCTTCTAATTGGATCCGGCTTATTTTTTTTTGCAGACTGTTAGAGCAATTTTATAAAAGTAAGCTTGAACTTTCGATTATGTCAAAAAGAATTTTTAATTCTGGGGCTGCCAAAGGATAAGCAAAGCAAAAGCATGTTTCAATGTCCATCAAACAAAAAGTGGAATTGTTGCAAAAAAATTTATAAAGACATATCCTTTGTTTCTATAACCATTCCGAAATCTATTTATGAATTTCACACTGCTCTGCGGAGGGGGAAACGTCGCGGTGCGCAATGAACTGCAAGTTGATCTGTCAGCACTATCCTTATCTTCAGGGCAGATGTTTTTATTTTATTTGGCTTATAATTCCTTACTAAATGTAGTATTTCATCTCAATGTACTCTGTCTTTGATATGCTTTAAATCAAATTCTTCGTCATTATAAATACACGAAAACCCATCAAAGTTTTTGGTTGCCAATTTTCTAATTTCGACTATGCGTAATGTGTTGCTTGCGCACCGCGCGTTGAAGAATGTTTAATAAAGTAAACAAAATATTAAGCTTTTTTTTCTTTTTGTAAATTTTGATACCCTTTAGATCATAATTGCTCTTTATTTCATAAATTACGGTTTCATATTTTTAATTTTATAATTTCTGCATACTATCTTACCAGATTTAAGTTTATGATGTATAATCCGGAAAAACCGATAATACGGAATCGCCAAAGTCCCGACAAGTCTGGATTAAAGACTTTTGACTGTATATATCTTTTTATTCTTAACATCTTTTCTCTCTTGATATTCTTTAGAATCTTCTCTAATCTCAACAATGGACAGTCTAATCACATTGGCTGTTGCCCTGTGACATTGTTCTCCCCTACTTGCGTCACACGACGAGTGGGAGAGCATTCAAGGACACAGAGGGGAATTACAATCCCTTTCACCTTTGTTTCTTCATAGAGAAGACTGCATAGCACCAGGTCTGTTTTTTATGTTTCTTTTCCAACAAAATTTTTTCTTGGTCTTAGCAAGACCCAATGTGTTTGTTTTCATTTAAATTTAATTTTAGATTTCTAACATTTATAAAGGTTTAATTCTTTAAGCTTGCAGGTCCAGCCTGTAAGTTATCGTATATTTTGACTAATAGCAGACCGCTATTTATTTTTATCTTAATTATTGCATTACATCATAATTGCATTTACATCTTTTAACACCTTAATGTGTCATTTTGTGTGGACGCGTTGGAAAATTGGAACAGAGAGTTGAGACTAAAAAATTTTTTAAAACAATTCATCTAATTAAATAAAAATTTTGTAACGCAAAAGATTCAATTGTCTGTTTCAGCGAAACGCATAATTGAGTTAGCTTGGTTCGACGTTTAATTAGAAATTTCCCTTGAAAAGCCAGATTGGACTTCGAATTAGCTAATTTACCATTTTTCGCTCTATATTTTTATGTTTTTTGTTTGTTTTATTTGTTTTAACTTGTTCCATCGATTTGTTTTTATATGTTTTTACTTTTCTCTCATCACATCGATAGGTATTTTACTGTATTTTTTGCCATTGCTAGTTTCCAACGATTAGTATTTTAGTGTGTTGAATATATTTTAGAGTCTATTTGGTGTGTAGCATAATTTTTGACGATTAAAATGACATTGTTTTTTAAAAAATGTGTTGAACTTTTTCTTGGAGCGACAGCTCCTGGTAACTTTTTTTCGAGCTCTCTACAATTTCTCATTTCCTTTATTTTGCAGCATATTGCGCAAAAAATTTTTTAGACCAAATTGGTCTTTCAGTATTGTAATTACTTCCTAGCTTGTTAATTTATATATATATATATATATACATATTATAACCATTCTGTTTTCTGCCAGCTGTCATATTGCGTACATTTACCAGAAGTTGCATTTTAAATTTAGGATTGCATTATTTAATTATTGCAAATTACACCAATGTTTATTTTTTCTGCAATTCAATAAAATTTATATTTGAGTCTTTAATGTTCAGTATCAAATTTGAATTTTGAACAAATTTATAACATTCATTTTCAGTATAAATTGACATATATCATTCAAATTAAAAAGAATTTTATGTTAAAGATTAAGAAATTTATATTAAAAAACAGGAAACTAGTAAAACTTTCATTGCAAATTCTAGCTATACAAAGACTGTCCTGAAAGTTAATGGACCAGCAGCATTTACCAATTCTGTGGATTTAACTAATGAAAATAACACTAATTAACTTCAAAATTATGTTTGCTTATTTAAGAACAATTTGATATTTATAGTTAATATAGTTTCCTCATGCTGTATTATACATGGAACGTCAAAGTAGTCATATCAGATTTTTTTATTATCTATTTAGCCATATTACATAGCAGACTGATGTGAGAAACTATATTCTGAATAATGAATTTAATTTATTTTTACTTATATAGTGTTATTGTAAGCTAGATGTTTTAAAGGGAAAATATCCTTTTTTAATGACTGATGACTTTTATAAAACATGCACAACAAATTTTCTAATTTCTCGCTAAACATATAAAATTTAATAACTTTCTAGGATGATGTAAGGAAAAGACCACCAGTAATAATCATTGTGCTACTAGATCCAGATTATGAATCTACGATAGATCCGCACTGGGTAAATCTTGATAGAATAGTTTCTTCAGTACAACTCAAAGCCCCAGAATTTAGAAGGAAGAGCTTTGTTACAAAAAAGGTAAATAGGAAATATTCCTTTATAGAACAAAACATGGATGATGCTTTTTGTTTTAAAATATATACATAGAAGTATAAGTATTTATCGTAATATAAGAGGCAGAAGACATCTGAAGACCCTTTTTTGATATCGTTTTTTAAAACAAAATTGCTTTTATGTATTTTCTGAGAGGTATGCACTGTCTGTACATTGTGCTGAGTTTATGTATAAAATAATGCAAATTTTTTAATTGAATAAAAAACAAAATGATTAAAAACTGTTAATCACCAAAATATATATATATATATATAATATATAAAACTCAATATTGAATAAAACTATTGATTTGAAAAACGATCAGGTGCGGGTCTCTCTTCTTTAGGAATAAAAAAACTTTTGATATGAACTTTTTAGAAAATAGTACAAGATCTGGTCATTTTTGTTTTTTTTCAAATAAGCTGTGAACAAACGAATTAATACAGTAGAAAAGCTATAATATAATGTTTCTTTAATATTCTGGCAAACATTACTCATATTTTGAGTTTTGTTATAAGTATTATAAGCTGTTTGCATCTAAAACAATAAAAAAATTCATGCTGCTCTGAAAATTGTCAATATACAGATGTGTAATAAGGAAGTTACAGAAATTCATGAAATTTGAAGTATTTAATAAAAAATAATTTTCATGTACTTAAAATATTTATATTGTTAAAGAACAATGCTTATTTTAAATTCTTGTCTTCTCAGAAATCATTTAATTTTTCAAATGATTCTTATATATGATTATTTTGTGTTTGAGTATACATTCATAATTTTTCTATCTTTTCAAAATGCACCTCTTCCCTTTTTCTTGTCCTAGGAAAATCCTATTTTTTTACATAAGTAGAACCCTTTCTTGCATGATTTTAATTTTGACAAGAAAATGTTTATTTACAGTTACTTTCAGTTCTATGATTCTGAAATAAGGTCTGTTACTAGTTATTTCAAAAAAAAAAAAGAAGGATTTATTTCAGATTTTAAATTGCGTCCAAGCGGGTTTTTTTTTAACATTTTGTGTGTTACATTTATTTATTTAATATCATGTTCTTCGCACTTAAATCATAAATCATAAAATTCAGTTCAACAGCAATATCGAAAAATAGTTTTAAAATGAGCATATCTTTAGAATTTCGTATACAGAGACTCACGCACTGGAGATAAAAATGTTTTTTCTCTACAACGTTGCCATTGCTCGCTTTGAAATCCTTGAATTTGTTAATCAAAAATTCATTAAAGTTTTACAAAATAGTAAATCCATAATAAAACAAATTACAAATTTCGAATTTGATCTTCCACATGCCCATATTCATAGAAGGATTACGTCATTCAAAATTCGATGGCTGTATGTACCGTTGTTTTATCACAGTGCGAGAAATATACATACGTTTATGCAGATTTTTCATTATTTAATTCTTTTAAATATAACACAGGGTGATAATACTTTCTAGCAACAGTTTGAAATGTGATTCGCCTTTTGTAGTGAATCGATGCAAAATCGCAAAACAAAAACAATAGTCCTTCAGAAAAAAAAAAACAAAAAGAAAAAAAAAAACTGAAAGGTTTCAGATTTTAAATTATGTCCAAAGGGGCATTTTTTTCTCGTTTTGTGTGTTACTTTTATTTATTAAATATCATGTTTTTTGCACTTAAACCATAAATTTCAGTTCAATAGCAATGTCGCGAAATACACTCATGTCCATAAATTAAGGATAATCCGGAGTCACGCGGAAATCGAACTCTAAAATAAATATATCACCTGTAAAATCACTACACACATCTTCAAGAATCATATGCAAATTTCAGGAAGTAACCAGATGACACCGATGGTACGTTACAATGATGAGAGTGTAAGAGAGTGATATATAAGGAATACAGGCAAAGAAGTAAAATTGTTCGCAGGCGCTTTATAAGCATATCAGTGCAATAACCGAATAGTTATGACACAAAGGACGTAGTTGGGTGATTTTTTATGTGGTATAATTATTGGCCGTTTGGAATGTGGGCGTACCCAACTGGAAGTATCAGACGAACTTGGAATTTCCCAGAGTGTCATCTCCAGGCTTTGGCAACGATTCCAAGATGATGGTAATGTGAGTAGACGTTACAGCACAGGTCGCCCCAGAGTTACAATGCCGAATGAGGACCGGTATTTGGCAGCTACTGCCAAAAGAACAGGCGGAACACAGTCTCAGACCTGTCTCGTCAGCTCTCTTCAGCTACTGGTATGACAATTTCAAGGCAGACCGTGTACAGATGCTTAGGGCAGATTGGTCTATATACTCGTAGACCTGTCAGATGCATTCCACTTACTGCAACTCACTGTCGCCTGCGGTAAGCCTGGAGTAGAGAGCATGCATTGTGGACACCTCAACAGTGGGCTTGTGTGATGTTTTCCAACGAGTCCAGGTTTAGCTTGCAGTCTGATTCTCGCCGGACTTTCATATGGAGAGCTCCAGGTACCCATTACCACCAAGGAAACATCATTGAACAACACCGTTACGGAGGTGCAGGAGTGCTCGTTTGGGGTGGAATTATTCTGGGTTTCAGAACTGACCTGCATGTTGAAATTGGAACCATGAGAAGCCAAATTTATCAGGATGTCATTCTGGAACAACATGTACGTTTGTTTCGGGGCGCCATGGGCACACAATTTGTGTTTATAGATGACAATGCCCGTCCTCACCGTGCAAACATTGCAAGAGAATGCCTTCAATCGGAGGATATCACCCGTATGGACTGGCCAGCATTCTCACGGGACTTGAATCCAGTAGAGCACGTGTGGGACATGCTTGGCTGATGAGTTGCAGCCCGTCAACCTCCTCCTACTGGTCTACCGGAACTTCGGAGAGCATTGCTTTTTAAGTGGTGTAATATCTCCTAAGATCAGATCAATAATTTGATACTCAGCATGCCTAGGCGTTGTACGGACTGTATTAACAATATTAACAATCATACCAACCATGTAATATTTTTTTTTTTTTGTAAATAGTTTTTTTTTTTTTTTTTTTTTTTTGTGTGTGTGTGTGTGTGTGTGTAATTTGCTCCAGGGAGAAAAAATAGCTATTTTTTTTTAATAATATCAAACATATAGTATCTTTTTTTGTTTTTACCTTTGTTTTAATAAAGCTTTACAAATAAGTCAAATTGTTGTGCTTCTAACTCTTCCTTTGCCTGATTTTGCATTATCCTTAATTTATGGACATGAGTGTAATATTGAGCCTATCTTTAGAATTTCCGATACACAGTTGTTGGAAATAAAAAGTTCCCCCCCTTCCCCGTAGATTGTTGCCATTGCTCGCTTTGAAACCATTGAGTTTGTTACGCAAAAATTCGTTAAATTTTTACAAAATATGAAATCGATAACAAAACAAATTCCAAATTTGGGCTTCCACATGCCCATATTCGCAGTAGGATTACGTCATTCAAAATTTGATTGCTCTATGTACCATTGTTTTATCACAATGTGAGAAATATACATGCATTTATGCAGATTTTTCATTACTATTTAATTTCTTCAAATATAATGCAGGACTCTAACATTATGTGTCAACAGTTTGAAAAGTGAAACGGACATTTATAGTGATTTAATGCAAAATCGCAAAACAAAAACAATAATCATTAAGGGACAAAGCCCCTTTGGGCTTTATTAAAAAAAAAAAAAAAAAACTCTTTTTAATTCCTGGAGAAATTGGATTTTCTTTAAAAATGTATATGAGTTTTTAAAGATTTCTTGGAATCTTTTCCCAATAATATACTTTCTAGGTTTGAAGGTAGAAACTGATATCTTTTTATTTTACTTTGTTATATTAGCTTTTATCAAAGTAGGATTTTATAATTTTGATCTCGGAACATTCAGTTTTAAAATGAATTCTTCTATACTTTTATTTTCCGAATGAGTATTTTGCTTACTCTAGGTTACATAATTTTCATCAGCTGAATCATAATCATTGGCTGTTTGATCCTCAGAAATATCTTCATTTGAATATTCAGCTGAAAATTTCTGAATCCATGGAGTCAATATGAAACTTTGAATATTCAAATAAAATTGCTTGAAAACATTTTCTCTTCAAGTTTCCAAAACTTTATCTTGATGTTGTAGATCCAGAGAATTTTTATTTTTCAAACATAGCGACTGATTTGTTTTGAAATTGTAAAATATTTTAATACTTAAATTTTCATGAAAATCTCAAAATGTATAGTTGTATGAGAAGCAACACTAGCATGATTTCATGAATTGGATAAAAATTACCCAGGGCAAAAGTAATAAATAATTATCGCAGAATAAAGTGTCTGCAAAAATGCTTATGAGAACAAGAGATTTTTGTCTTTGCTTCTCTGGTCAGTATGTTAGCCGGATTTTTATCTCCATGACAACAATTCCAGGATTCAGGTGATATTTTTCTCTTGTATTTCCATTACTCAATGTTGGATGAATGACATTCATTTATTAAATCACCCTCTAGCTAATATAACATCACATAAGCATCTGTCCAAAAGTGTACGTTCATCTGGAGCCTCTTCTCTGTCTGCTCTTTGACATTTGAGGCTAATCATGTTCCAGTGACTGCTCCCACCATCTCTAGTCTTGGGAGAGACAGCTTCTTCAGAGGAGCTACTCAGGTTTTGAAAATTACAAAACTACTTCCTATTTTGCTGTCCTTTGTGACGGATTGCAGATATGTCACAGCTCCATATGCTTTCTAACTTGCATCAGTGAAGCAACACATTTGAACATCTCTTAATTCAGACTTACTAGTCTTCCAGAAGTAATATCACAAAATGTTTATATTCTGAATCACTGATAGTTCATTAGACCATTTTCTCAATCTGTTGTCAAAGTCCAATGGAAACGAATAATCACAATCTATACCAAATTTCTTGCATTAAGTATTTTTGCCTTATAGTGAATGGACTTATAAATCCAATAGCATCTTAAAGTTTTCCATTAGTTTTAAGAGCTTCTCTTTTTGTGGTTAGCATTGTTTTCTCTTCAGTTTGATTCGTTAGAATTTGTGATTTTATCTTTAAAAGATTTTAATTGTAATTCCATTTATATCCCAATATCTTCTGTTCCAGAACTTAACAGATTTCACCATTTTCATGTTTGTAAAAACTTGGTCTTTCTTTTTCACATGTTGAAACTAGCAGCTTTCAATATATTTTTAATGTATTCATATACAAGTTTAGCTTTGTTTTCATCTTCATAGACACCTATTAAATCATCTAGGTATAAACATTTTTTTCAGTAGTTTAACTGCTTTCTGATTCGTTTCTTTAAAGGTATTTATGTGGTGTTTGATAATAGCAGGAAGCAAAAATGGGCTGGATGCAGTGTCAAAAATAAAGCATATCATCCTAAGCACTTTCATATTGGGTTTTCCATCTTTATCTGTAAGGCCACAAAAATCTCATAGCATCCCTGTCTTCAGGTGACAAAGAAATTTGGAGAAAGATTCATTCGATATCAGCAGTAAATGCTGATCTGTATGAAATTGTATTAATATCTCTGACAATAGCAGATTTTAATTATGACTGGAATAGAGACAACAATTTTAAGAGTATTAATTTTTCAAATGGATGGATCCATCAAAATCAACTCTTGATGATTTGCCAAGTTGAATAACTGGCTACTGACGCATGTAATAAATTCTCCCTGTTTCTTCCAAAACTTCGATTAATACCACAGCAGTACCCATTTTTAAATAACTGACTGATCCGGTGATGAGGCAGTGGATCATTTCTGAACCTTTCAACCAGTTTATGAAGGTGAGCTTCGTGGCATTTACATAATTTGTTTTAAAATCAGATGAATTTTCATTCCAAGAGATTTATCCTCTCCCCCCCCCAATTTGATAATTTTGTTAAAATTCTTCAAAATATTAATATTTATTTTACTCTCCTTTCCTTCTTCAATTCACAAAACTGCTTTAACTGCATTGTGTTCAATTTATCATTAACAATAATATCCATACTTAATAATTCACCATTAAAATCAGTCTGGCCTTGAAGGCACCATCCAAATATTGTTTCAGAAGTTATAAGTTTATTTTTAGAATGTATAGGTCTACCTGTTATTACTTCATGATAGTAATCTGCACCAATCAGAATAGCAATGTTTTTGTCATTGTATTCATGTGAATCAGCCAACTACAATCCTCTTAAATCTTTGTTTATTTAGGAAAACGTAAATTTAGCTATACATATTTGGCTATTTTCTAAAGCTTTAATTTCTATGTTTAGGAATGGTTCATTTCTGTTTCAAATTTTGACTTTCATAAGTTTATTTTGTTGCCTGGTTAACCCCAAAAGCAAATACTGACATTCTTTCCTAATAACAGGTAATATTCTTTTCTGATATTTCCTGAATTATAAACTTCTCATCAAACCATTGTCTAAAAGAATACACACTGGTTCCAAATTATCCTCATCAAAGAACGGATTATCATTACAATGCATGTTTGTAGCAATGTACTACAAAAAGTTCCATTTTTTAATTGACTAATCTGAATATCTTCTTCACAGGGTGAAACTGCCGACATGCCTTTATTTTTTTCTGATTTTGTGTCAAGTTGGAATCAAATAGATCTTTTATTTTTGTTACATATTTCACATATTTTTCTTTCTTTACGTTCTTTTATTCTGTGCTGAGGTTTAAGGCATAAAAACAAACAACCGTGATTCTTTAAAATATCCCCCCCCCCACCAATCCATAGTTTTAATTTCACAGCACTCACAATCGTGTAGTTAGTTACAATATATATAATTATTTCTAGTAAACTGAGTAATACATTCATAAGTTTTAGTTGAAATGTTATTAAACTATTTATTGCACTTTTCGCTTATATTATTGTGTGCAGAATGGAGGCGATCGTTTGGTTTATGCTTCCAGTTCTGAAACATTTCTGCTCAGTATTTTGTTTTTGTGTCTCCATTGTGATTCAACTGAATAGCTCTTTTGTGGCTTTCAGTTTCCTTTGCGAATAAATCCATTAATTCTTTAATATTCCACATTTGATCATGTTGCTACTGTGACTATATTCTAATGTAATCACTGATGGAATTAATTTTAACAATATTGGGCAAAATAAACTACTGTAAGTTTCTGATATCGTATTCATTGAATTTAAGCATCTAATTTAAGTTTCATACCACCCAGACAGGAAAGTGGTTAGTGACTCTGACTATCGTACTGTTCGAACCCTATAGAAAGCATGAATGTAAATTATGTGTGCCTTCATAATAGGTGACGGAGGCCACCAATTAGGTGTCTCCATAATAAAATGACCACTACTTCTGGGCTTAGTAGTGCCAAGTGCCTGTCATTAAAAAATGAGTTTTATACTGATCATATAATTTCCTAAGATTCTCTACACCCCTTACATTTCTAACAGGGGAAAGATTCAACAGTCTATTCATGTGAGCCTTTATTACCAAATCTTTTCTCCTAAACCTGTTAAATAACACCTCTTTAGCTAAACCGTAATTCTCATTTGTAAGTGAAAGTCGAAAATGACGTATAGGCTACCCCACCTAATAGTGACTTTAAATAATTATATTTACTTTTGATAATGAGCCATTTTTATGGATAGTTACTTCATATTGACTCCAAAATTCCTGCCAATTGCTTAAATCATCAAAAACAAATTTTATTTATTGTCAGTTAGGTAATTTTATAGATGAAATTTCTGCACTTCGATTTGGAAGATAATTAGAACTGGACACATTTTCCCCTTCATTAGAATTATTATCTGTGATCTTTTCTGATAATTATTCTCTTTTAACAATTAGATTGCTCTTGTATTCTAATAGATTATCATGATACTCTTCAACAGAATTAATTTCTTAAATCTGTCTCTTTGAGTATAGAATTAACTGTTAGTTTAATATTTTCAATTTTAGTACTCAGCTGATTTAACAATGGCTTTAAATTACTCACTGGCTTATTTTCTTAAATATTCTTATCTATTTTATTGATAAGTTTTGTAATTGAGCCTTTTTTTGCTAGCTCTTACTTTTTTCAGCTTTTTCAGTTTCATTGCAAATAAAGAAAATAAATGTTTCTTATCTTTTCAGATGTATATCCAACTTTAATGGAATTCAAATCTTGGCACATACAATTCCTTCTAAATATTCATTATATAATTATTAAGTTTTCTTCTTAATCCTCCTTCCGAGCTCACAGGATGCACCAAAATGTACAACAGATAATATGGTGTGGTGTATCAAAAAGTTCTAAAGTGTAGTGTATACAAAGTTCTACAATGAATTTAAATTTCCACATGTGTGGTTTAACATCTCATCAGCAGTATTCAAGCTGCATAAAACAAATCGAAAGCAAGTTTCAAAGTGAACGCTGCCCACCAGCAGTAAAGACGCTGAACACTGGTAGTTCGGTCTGAGGTTCGAATCCCGCGAACGGACTGGCTGCATGGGCGTTTTCGTGGTTTTCCCCATGTGTAACGTGTATACGAGCCAGTTTCCCTTAGAAAGTCCTCCACGAAAGGCATCCCTCCCTTTAGGCAGATAGCCCTCGTGTGCTTTGCCATAATTAAATACACACACACACACAAAGTGAACGCTGTTGTCACTTTGAGTTCTCTAAATGAATATGCTTCTACTGATTTTCGTATTAGTCAGAGAAAAGTGTTTATTCAAATCGGAAACACTGGCATTGATAGCTAATTGTATTTACTTTTTGTTATATATTGATTTATTATAATGTGTAACATATTCTTTGTAAAAAAACAATCATTGGTGGTTGTAAATTCCAGAATTCTTAATTGAAGTTCAGCTATTTTAGATTCACTGCTTTCATATTGAAAAAATGTTCCAGGAACTGATTTAATATGTTTTTGATGAAATAGCATAAATGTGAAAATGTAAAATGTAATTATTTTTAAATTCCAGATGCTCTAAGTTCTCGTACTTAACTATTTTTAACTGCATGACTAGTACTGAAAACTATTATCACATAGGTAAGGATTTTTATTTTGAAAGACCTTTTTGTAAAATGATGAAATTCTATGAAAATATATAGAAGCAATTAATGTAAGACTGCACATGAGAATGCACATCAATAAAATTATTTTACCAAATATGCTGCCTTTTTCTGAACCTGACTAAATCTTTACATTTTGAGTAGTTTAGATTATGTTCGTCAAACATGTTTTGAAACATATTGAAAAAATTATTTACTAATATTTAAACTCTTACAAATATTCATTTTTCATATATTTACAGCAACATTTAGCTTTACATCTAAATGGTATTTGAATATTACTGTAAACATTTATTTAATCATCACAAACAATTAGTGGAATCACGGTAAAAGTGGACATTAAATATTGCAAAACCTTTAAAATATAAGCTATAATTTAGGAATTGCAAAACTAACAAAGTAAAACATTATATTAAAAAAAGTCATCAAAAGGGAAGAGGACCATGTCAAAGTAAAGCATAAAATTAGGCAAAGCAACAACCTTTTGTTTGCCAAAGATTTTAGTCAACAACTGTATCAATTTTGACGGCAAACAATGCGCAGGTCCTTCTTCATCAGAGGCAAAGAATTCTAGAACGAAGGAAAGTCGTGGATGTATTTATATCCAAAAAAAAGTAAAGTAAATGGGAAGGTACTGCCATCTGTTGGTAGAAATAATAATGAAAATTGAAAAATTTAAGTTAATAGAATTCTAAAACCATTATGAAGGACTGGATTGGAATTAGTCATTAACTAAACAAGATAAATATGTGCGGAGAAGCATTTTGGATAAATTTTGCAGAAGTCAGAATTGTGATTAAATTTCCGATGATGATTAGCTATCAAAGGCTAGTTAATTTAACCTTTTTTGACATAAGTTTTGTTTTCTTTGATGTAAAAAAATGGTCCTTTAAGTTTGGCTGATATATATCAAACCATACTGACAAGATATGTTATAAATTCCCCAAGAATTAAAGTCAGAAACATCTTTAAGAATCGAATCATGGATTTTATTGATATGGAAGAAAATGACTTAAAAATTGAAGTTCTGGAGAATCCATGCAATTTTGTAACTGATAGAAGAACAAAATGGAAGTATTAATGTTATTTCTAATAGCAGAATGTCTTTCAGGACAAGATGGAAGTTTTTTAAAGGCTTTATCAATGACCATGGAAGAAAATCCATGGTCAATGGTAACTGATCCCAAATAATTAAGTTCATCAGCAAAAAAGATTCTGAGGAACAAAGTTTGAGAGCACAAAATATAAGAGTAAAAAAAGCCGTTTATTCGTTAGCCAGGTGACATGACTTAGCATAAAGAGGCAAACAAACAGAAAAGTGTTTACGGTAAACTGTAGTGCTGAAATCAGATTCATTGTGAATTCTAAGAATTTCAAGCAAGAGAAGGGTATTGTCAGGTTCAGTTTCAAAAGTGAACTGGATGGTTAGATCAATCAAATTTATAACAGATAAAAATCTGGGATAAATCTTCTTTATTACCATCAAAAAGCATGAAAGTGTCGTCAACAAAGTGAAGCCAGAGACAAAAAGATAGTTTCTGAAATAGTTTGACCTCAGAATAGTGCATGTAAGTATCAGCATGAACAGAACTCGAGATTACGCTAGTTTTTCAATTTGGTGATATATTCATTTTGGAAAAGAACGTGGGTTTGACTCAAGGAGACTTTAGTAAGAGAAAAAGTATTCAATTTCTATATGCGTGAAATGGAACTCTTGAAGCCTAGTTTCAAGAGATTTTAGTGCTCTTTAGCCTGGAACATAAGTAAACAGTGATTTAACATCAAAACAAACCATAAAGAAGTGCAGGGGAGAAATATCTTTATCAACAACTTTAAAAGAATTTTTTTATAGTGCAAATATTGCTAGAAAATATAGAAACTAAATATTTGGCCAAAGGATACCATTCCAAAGTTAAAAACTATAGGTCAAAAAGGAATTCCAATTTATTAGACTTTAGACATAAAACCTAGACAATTATGAAAAGATAAACTGAGCTGGAAGTGTATGAAAAAAGAATTGGAGGAAAAAAGTGTAAAATTAATTGTATAGAGAAAACTGATGCATAACTCTTACCATAAAAAGAATACATTTTTAATTAATCACATAGGTATTTTGCTTTTGCTAAGAATTCATAAATTGTACTGTATAGCATTTATTCCCTTGTTTATTTTTCAGATTCAAAATATTGTATAAGTCACCAAAATGGAAAGAAATGTTACTTTTATAATATGACAGCGAAAAATAAAACTTTTATTTTAATGTTATTTTTTAAATACAATTTCAACATATTACCATTATTTTAATTAAATTTATCAATGTTATAACGTTTAAAAGAAGTCAGAAAATTCCCAGACCTTCGAATTAAAAATTTTCTACAGAAATTGGTTTTAAAATCGTCAAAACGTTGATAAGTCACCAAATTTAGAATCATTTAATAAAAGAATTCACATTTCCAAAAGCAAAAAGTTGTTTAAGAGTTCATTAGAAAAAAACAAAAGAAATAATGTCGAAATTTCATTTCTTGCCCAGAAACTCTAATATCCCACCATTTATATTAGAAATAGGAACAAATTATAACCTATTCAAAAGATATATTCAGTATCACTATATTCAGTAAATTTCTAAAAATATTCCTCCAAAATGCTATTTCACACTCAAAATGGCAGTGGTTAAAAACAGATAGAAATTTCAGATGATTAAAATTAAGGACCTTCTGCCAATTCTGGCCGAAATTAAGGACTTTTAAAGACCAAAAATCGATTCCAAAAAACCTACAAACAGTAGGAACCCTGTTTTAAAAAGATAAAATATAATTTTGTGAAAACAGTCCTAACAATATATGGAAGGGTCTTGTAAAAATAACATTTACACTTTTTGTGCAATTCTAGATAAAAATGAGTTTACTAATTTGATTATTTTTTTCCAGGCTATTATCAACAAAATCCAACACTACTGAGAGCAAATTTAGGGATTGCAAAAGAAAACTTATTTTTAGACACATAAGTTTTTGCCTTAGGAAAAGCAATATTCATTATTAAATTTAAAGTTGTCCCCTTAAAAAATATTTATTGAAGGATACAGATAAAACCAAAAATCTAATTTAAAAAGAAGCTTTTCACTCACACAGTCTCGTATTCTATAGCTCAGTTTTTAAGAGAGACAGAAAATGAAAAGCGAGTTTAGAAGATCAACATTTAAAGAAATATTTTTGAAAAATCCTACATATACAATTTTTAGTAATATAGCATTCAAATTTTATTATTTTATGATTCTATATGTCATTTAATGCTGGTGTGAAATTTTTATTTGAATGTTAAACCAAGGCCAACTTTTACTCAAGGACTGCCAGACTGAACGAAATTCCGGTTCCCAGTTTTCAGTGGCTTTTGCGAAATTCATCACTAGGTGGCGCTCGCATTCTTCTACACTTTTGCTATACGTTCTTTATTTGTAATGTGGCTCGTTATTAACAAAAAGTGTATTTTATTAAAACGTGCTGCTGTAACTAATAGTAACATAGGATGGTATATTGTTGCATGCTATACTGTAAAGTTTTCTTCCTTTTAAAAAAATTTTTACGATTGTATTTTAAATAATTATTCGTAACATATAACTGTTGGATGAATAGCATTTCCATCAGTTTCATGTAATACAGATTTAATACAAATACATAATACAAAATTTCTTAAACAAAAGCCATCATCACATAAAATTTTAAAGCTTTAAAATTATTTTGATATGTTTCTTTCACTCAGCTTTTGTATATAAAACAAGCTTCTTAATACGTGTGTGTATGTGTATTCAGCTTCATGTCATTTTTTCGTCTTTCTGAAATAAAAATATCATTTTTTTTATCATACTGGAGATATCTCTGTTTTCTGCATAAATGATATTTTAACCTATTATATATATATGAATTTAATGCAATTAAAATTTAAGAATGCATCCACGTATATATTTTATAAGAAATGATAATTGTGTTGGCTTTTTTACAATATTTATTACTTTTTAGCTCTCGTATTTGTTATCTTTGATCCAGAAACATTTGAATGCTGTCTGTACTAGCTTCAAAATTTTAAAGCACACATCTTGTTTTAATTAGTGCGATGTATCAGTATGCTGTGCATGAATCTTTGTCTACCTGGTTGAGTGTTCTGTGGTTGCACTTGAAGTCATTAAGATTCATGTCGAATCCATATATGTAATTAATGGAGGTAATACTTTTTGTTTTAGGGAATATTGCTTTATTTTTTTTTAAATATGCTGTCAATGATATTGAAATACTTGGTACTAAGCACTAGCAGTCTCACAATTTTATATTCCCTCCATCCCAAACTAGTTGCTGCACTTAGGTCAAAAGTTTCGTGCCAAATTAGGTGCTACATGTAGGTGGAGTCATAAATAATTTTCGATGCAGTTTAATAGGCGGACATCAGTAAAATTATAAGGTGTACTACAAGGAATGTAACGCTGTATACTAGGTTTCCATTCTCAGGTCTTACTTTCCACAAATGTAGCACTTATTTTGGGACAATTTTATCGACGCAAATTTAAAGGGTTCGCATGTTCTTAAGCCACACTGTATTTTGTAAGGACTATACTGCCCGTATTTCAGAAAGATCGTGTTTATGTGCTTAAGGCAAAGCCTCGAGGGCTGTCTGCCTAAGGTGAGGGATGCCTTCATGGAAGAATTTCCAAGGACAAAATAGATCATTGAATTTACATTTAATTAGACTGAAGATTTTAAGCGATTACTAATGGAAGAGTCCTTGCAAAATGGGGCGTGGCTTAAGGGTGTGCGAAAGCTGGATTTTTTAAACTAATTTCGTACTGATTTAAGGAGGGAATGCTTGGTAAGTAAAGTTGTTGATTGATAACGTAGCACCTTGACATTTCTGGAAAATGTGCAAACAAAATCATAAAATCTTAGTATCAATAACCAGTGCTCAAATGTAGCAACTAATCTGGGACAGAGTAAGTATATGATTCATAGTGATTAATGTCATACATGTTATTATTATATGCTGTAGGTGATATTGAAATACTTGGTATTATTTTGAATATCTGTAGTGTTGCATTTACTCTTCAGAGCTCTAAATCTGCATTATTTAAAATTTTATTTTTTAATATTTCCTAAAAAAGTATTTTATATTAATTAAAAAAAGAAAAAGTCTTCAGTACCTAAAACCAAATCTCTTTTAGAAATACTTTTTCTCTTATGTATTAAATTTTAGATCATCATTTATTAATTTCTTAATTACATATTTAATAGTGGCTCCAAATTATTTTGTTGCACAGGACAACTGATATTAATACGATGGAAATTTTGCGCTGAAATAGTTTATGTTCTGAAGCTACCTGCTAACTCCGTACTATATAAATAATTTAAAAGTAAAACATGTGCTCTAAATTACCCTTAAATTAGAATAGGTAACTCTAATAAGTACAATTAAAAATAGTGTATATCTAGATGCAAGCAGGAATTAAAATCAGAATCAAGTAGCTGACAGTTATATATGAAAAAAGAAAAATGGGATAACTTGAAATTTCATGCTTTCTTTCTAAATAAAAATATTTTTATTAAAAAGAAATGTATAATTTCTGACTACTATAGATTAATCGTTTTTAAATTTTACATATAACAAGACAATTATTTGTCTCGGGTACCATTCTGCTTGCTCATTGTTAATGTCGCAAAGAGCAGCAGAATAGTAGCGCCATCTTGCGGTCAGTAGAAATTTCATGGAGGCCACAGAAAACATAAAAGAATATTTTCCCTGGCAAGCCTTGAGTATAAGTTGGCCTTGGTTAAAGTAACTTAGGAGAACACCATTATGTAATGAAATGATTTGTATATTTTATGCACATTAAATTTCAACTGGTTAAAAATTTTAGCTATCACATAAAAAAATACCAGATAACACTTGAGTCATGAAATTTCTATATGCAAGTTATTGTATAAATTGTTTTGAATAAGTCAGCAAAGTTTATATTCTCAACTCTGGATGATAAACTACAAATCTTACATTTTAATAGAAGCTAAAATTATTTTCTGCCTAAAATATCCAAGCAGTTTCATAATAAATTAATAATTTTTAATGATACTCGTATAAAACTTTTATTGATATGTAAAAGCTCTAAATGAGGATTATAAAAAGATTAGAAGTCAAATTTTTTCTGTTCTATAATTTGTTATGTATTTTAATCATGTTACAGAGTGTGACAGATGTCTTTACTTATACAATGAAAATAGTATTATAGGAAATTTCAAAATATTCATCTTTTGATTCACCACATTCCATTTTACATTTTAGTTCTTAATTAAAATTAATTACACTACATGACACAAAATTTACATGAATTTTTATTGAAATAGCAAAAAATAATTAAGATTCTAAAATTTTCGTAAATACATCTAGTAAGTGCCTCTAAATGTTTTTTCATTTTCTCTTTTTTGAGTTTCATACAATTTGGACACACCTTCTAATCTTCTTTGTAGAGCAACTGTAAATGAAAACAACAACATTAAAATACATTCAAATTTTTTTTAAAAATTTTAAAAAAATTTTATGTTATATTGTTACTTCTTACCCAAATATCAGAAACTAAAGTATCAAAAATAAAAAGTATATGATTCACATTAAGTAAAATACATAATATCAATTTTAATACTATTATTATACAGATACAACTCCCCAATTATCCATGCATTTTTAGAAAAGTTCAGAATAATCTTTTAAGACAAATACTTGAAAAAGATGGAAACTTAGTTTTTGTAAGAAGCTCATAATTTCTCAGTTTTTGTAAATTAAGTTCAACATTAACCCAAATTTAAAAAAAATGAGGAGAAAAAGAATCTTTAGCATTTTAAAGGAAGAAGATTATACTAATGAAAAAGACACAAAACAGGCCTTTTGTCATTTCTGACATTTGAGGACTTAGAAATGCAAAAGCAGAAAACATGGAAGAATTGCTGCACACAGACAAGTTGGATGCTATGTAATTTTTACAATACACTTTGTATTGTAAAAATTGCAAATTGCATTTATTGCAGAAATTTTTGGGATAATGTGACTCAGGAGACCAGTAGAAGAATGTAGGTATGGGTAAAGACTAAATATAAGCTATGATGAGATATTTGAATGTCAGAGTATGCACATTTATTTATATTTTTAATATATTTCAAAATTAATGAATTCTTGCTTGCTGATTAATATTTTGCTTTTGCGAAATATGAGAGAAAATACACACAAATAAAAGAAAACATGACTTTTTTAATCCATATGCAGTTATAAAATCCAGATTACCAAAACTTTTCTTTTGATAATAGTCATTATTTTGCACAGTATTCACTATTATTCAAAAATATATCACGCTTTCCCTAAAAAAGTGTGTTTTTGTGGAGAAGGGAGGATACTTAACTTATAAATTTTATTATTTTAATTAAAACTCATCTAAAACAGTACATTATATATCATACATTTTAATTTTCAAACAAAGTTAAATTTTTACAACAGAACCTGGCCATTTTTGGGGGCCACCCAGTGGCTGAGGAGTAAAGTCACTAAACATTGGTATTCCAAGGTTTGAATCCCAGCAAACAGGCTGGCAGCATGGGTATTTTCGTGGTGTTCTCCATGGGTAATGCATATATGAGCCTTGGAAAGTCCTCCATGAAGGCATTCCTTCCCTTAGGCAGATAGCCCTTGAGGCTTTGCTGTAGTCAAATAAACCAAACCAGCCCATTTTTGGACTATTTGTGTACCCCAGTGTATTAATTACATGAATATCTTGGAATAACTTCACACTGTTATGTAAACATATCTCATTTTAAAATTTGTTCTAACTGTTGCTTACTATGGATGCATAAAAATACCTCTTTATAAAAAAAAAAAAAAAAAAAAAAAACTTAGGTCAGAGCATAACTGTGTGCTGTTCTTTATTTGGATTGCTGTTTTTACCATGCTATAATTTTATTAGTATAAAATATACTACATAACAATACAATATATAATAAAAATAAAAGTATTAACAGGGGGGAAACCAAATGCTCTCAGATTTTATATTAATCTAAAGGGGCGGTTTTTAAAATTTTTTTATGTTTTGTGTGTTACACCTTTATTTATTAACCCTCCAGGCGGCAAGGCCGTATATATGTGTTCGAAAATAATGGCTCTCATAGCGGCAAGGCAGCATATATGCGTCCAAATATTTTGGTCCTCATAACGGCAAGGCAGCATATATACGTAAACTTGAATTTTGGCACGAAACGGCAAAGCAGCATATATGCATAGACTCCAACCTTCAGCAAACCTTGTCAGTAGTCAACGCGCGAATGACATTATTACAACTTTGAAAATGTGCGCGTAGCGTATGTTGTAATTAACCATTCATTAATTTTAAATTAATAATTAATTGTAATCAATTTTATTACATTTAAAATCCATATACATATAAAACTGAATAATTAAAAATACCTTGTAAATTATATGCACATTTAATTAGAAATTTTCTTTTAACTCTCAAGCATTCGCTAATAAAAAGTACTTCAAATCACTACTAATCATAGAAAAAATCAGAAGCTATAAATCATATCTTTATTCTGGATATGATTTCTACAGGGAAATAAAATTTAAATAACCAAGAATGATACATATAAGTATTAAAAAATACGCATAATTTATGAATGCAAAGATTTATATGTAGCATGCTTAGCAAGCTTAAGTTCTGATTTTGAGAATGTTTTTTTTATAACACAGTTCTTCATTTGCCTGCATATTTATTTTTTCAATCAAAACTGCTTCAAGAGTTTAAGACCTAATTTGGTCGAAATTCCGTCTGATTTTTTTAACAATAGAAAAATTCTTTCGCAAGCTGCATTTGAATGAGGTATTATTAAGACAGCAAGCATTACAGAAGGCAATACTTTGTATTTAATACACCCATTCATATTTTTTAATTTGGCAATTTCTCCCCATGCTATATCAATACGCAAATCTACAATTTCTTTCAAATCTTCTACTTGATTAAGACATTTTTCATCAATAATGGATGGAAAAGTATTCATCAAGTAAAGAACAGATGAAAATGAGACTTCAGTTCTCAAGTTGATGTCAGCAACTTCAGCATGTTTTTTAGAAATGGATCACTCAGTGGAAATTTATCAATTATATATGAACATGCAGTTACAAAAAAAGCTCGCACAGAATTGAAAAATGATTTCACTTCACTTTCATTCAACCTGGCATTTATCACAGCATCCCACTGTTCCAAAATCCTTGTTATAGATTCTAAAAGAGACACCATCTCGTACTGCAATATTTCAAAATTTTATGAGATTTTGCATTCTGTCCCAAAATTTTTTGAGCAACTTTGAAGCTATGCTTCCGTTCGAACTTTTCTCCAAGTAAAATATATATCTATTATCACATTTCAATTTCTGCGCCAATTAATTTTTCAGTAGCTTTTTTTGCAGCTATATGCAAGAGGTGGCACGGACAACCTCGGGTGATTATACTTGGTTGATGCATTTTGATAAATGATGCTACACCTTTAAAAACTTTCCAATCATATTACTAGCATTATCTGAAGAAATGATAAGCAATTTTTTCCATTCTAAACCTTTGTTTTTAAAGTTTTCATTTATACAATTAAAAATACCTTCTCCTGTATTATTCGTGCATTCTAAAATAGAAATGAATGAAGTAATTATCACTCCTCCTTTTTCTTTACTGTAGTATGTTATAACCAATGGTACAGTTGTTTATCATTGTTATCATACTTCCATCAGTACTTAGAGAAAATGATGTACTGCACACTGATTTTATAATATCACAGTATTTTCTGCAAGCGTTTTCACAATAGCAGCAGTTTTGGTATGACCGCAGCTAAATTTTTTGCTATGGCAAATCCGGAAACATTGCTTGAAAACTCTTTGGAATGATCCGAAAGAGAAAGCGGTAGATTATGTTCAATTAAAAATGAACAAATAGCATTCGGCTTTTATAGGATCGGTTTCATCATCTTTTATTAGAAATTTGTTATTTCTTTATTTTTACGGTGCCAAGTTCTACATGCTTTTGAGAAAACACATGCCGTTACAGTCATCTTTTCCGCCATGAGCAACTGAGAAGTCTTTGTTCATACACTGCAGTGTGCGTGATTCACAGAAATTTCGGACGCTTAATGCATGGAAATTCTGAAGAATATGAATCTTTAAACTTCTGCTTTGATAATTTTGGCTTCTTTCGTTCGAGGCAGCATTATGATTAAAAATCTTTCACTTCACCTGATCACAGTTCACAAGACACAACGCTAAGCTCTCGCCGTAAACTACACAATGCAGCCGAATGCAGCCTAACACGCATCAGCGAGGAACCTGGGAGACAGACAATTGGGTGGAACTATTGATAAGTCGTTAACTTTGGAGTTACTGATCTACGTTGCGATTTTCAAACTAGACGCCCACAGTTATATGATAGGTTCGCCAATCATGGAGAATTTGTTTTTGCGTACTGGTCTCCTCTCTTGGCTTAAAATCCTAGTTTTTTCTTACTTTGTGCCGTAGTTTTTCATGATTCCTAAAACGGAGAATCGTAGTAGTTGGAGTCAGTAATGCGCCTGTCTCAGAGTGCCCTCCCCTCCCCTCTCTGCTCTTAATGTAAACTGACAGGTGATAATTTTTCTCTGCGGGAGGTAATTGAGGAGAGGAAACTATCTATTCGCTAGGGGCAAATGGGTTTTATCGTTAGGTTTTGAATAACAGCTCGGAATAAATAGCTCGTTCAAAACTTCCAGCTGTTGTTCTGTGCTTATACCAGCTATAGTAAACTTAAATGTTTATGTTCGTAACGAGAATTTTCATTTTCCAGCCTAATTATTCTCCAAATTTTAGATGCAGTTTGGCAAAATGTAATTAGAATTACAATTAAAATTGCAAGAAACAGTAATTGTAACTGCAACAATATTTTGAAATATGTGATTTCAATTATATTGCAATTGTAATTAGCTTACGCAATTACAATTAGAAAGTAAGTACTTTTTAAATGTAACGATAATGTATGTAATTGCATTTTAAGTCTTACAATTACAATGCAGTGATAATCACAAACATTATAATTATATAATCTAATTACAATTACAAATTTTATTGCATCTAATCACAACTACGGTTAATAATATTAGCTAATTACAACGTAATTTTAACTGCAATTGCAGTAGGTAATTATAACTACGTAATTAGGAAAGTAATTGTCTCTGATAATTAGAATTACTTAACATAGTGAAATTATGATCATAATTGTAATTCTAAGTGTAGTATGCAATTGTAATAAAATTATGCAATTACTAAGTAGTTATAGTTAAAAAGTAGCTGTTTTTTTTTAATTACAATTACAATTTTCGTAATTTCATTTAAATTACAATTACTCTATATTTGTATTTGTGAAATCCAATTTCATATTCAATGCAACTGCAATCATATAATCTAATTACAATTACACTGT